AGCTATTTCATATCAACTATGGTAGGAAAACGAAATTACAAATCGAAGTATAGAGTTTCTCAGTCTGATTCACCACATGCAACTTCACTGATACATCAATCACACTAATATTTTTTACCTCTTTTTTAAACTATATAAAACGAAGCTTGACTATTTCTATATGTACGAACTTTGAAAAAGAATATCTAAAACTTGCACCCTTTAATTTAAACGTTTTATTCTCAACTAAATTAACAACAATGAACCCACTAAAAATCAATATTTTGGAAGTTAGTTTAAAGTTGTCAATTGCCAAAATAGTTGTTTTGAATCTTGCAAAACTAAAAGATGTAATCTTGCGAACGATGTTAGGATGGCTTTATACACTTTTTAGGTTATAATACAAGTTTGAAATTTAAAATAATAATAAAAACAATATTTTGTGTTTTCTCAATTTTTGTAAATTACATATATTTTGGATATCTAAACCTATTTTATAAACGATACTCTTAAAAGTGGATATAGTAATTAAAATCACTAGTTGCGTACGCGGTAAATGGGATATATAATGGTTATAGCAATTGTATAATTCATGTGATTTTCAGAAAAGTTGGTAATTTTAATTAAACTAATCTAAACTTATTTACTTAGTAGGATAAGTTCGTCCTAGCCGTAAACTCTCTCTAGCATAATCAGATTCGTTCCTAGAGTTTAGGAAGTTAGAGGCAAAAAGAAAAATTTTGAGACTCCAAAAAGTAGTGTTAAAAAAAATTAGGATCCAAAATTAGTGTAAATAATGATATCAAACTAAATTTACTATGGAAAATACATATAATCTACAATTTTTCTTAAATTTGGGACCCCAAAATTTTGTAATACAAGGGGGCCTTGAGACGATTGCTTCAAAATTACTAAGATGGGCATGGCCCTGAGCATAATTATCGAGACAACAAAAAAATTTATCCTCTTTCGGCGCCGGTAGAGCTTTTGCTCGCCGGCATCGGACGCTGGTTCTTCTTCTCTACTCACTTGTTGTTTTCTTTTTGTTCACTTGCTCACTTGTGCCCGTTTCGTGCTTCTATGGCGTGGATCTACTCTTGACTCAGAACCAAAGATCTAGTGCTCTATGCTCTACAACCCACCTCACCTCACTAGTTTCCTCCGTCGTTCATCACCATCTTGCAAAATTGGGTTCTAATGCCTAGATCCCCTTTGGCTCATGCTCCTTCACCGTTCATGCTCTATCCACCATCAGTTTGCTCCCCTCATGCTTCTTCTCCGCCTTCTATCACTCATCTATTTGGAGCTTTTCCGTCGTAGCTTTAATCCCACATCCAGACCCGCTAATGTTCATTGTTGGCTCCAAAATTTGCGTCGGCGAGACTATCGGTTCTCCAAGCCACCACCGCTCATCCTTTGTCCCTCGAAAATTCACAACATTGTCAGTGATTTTCAAATATGGGCTTGGCCCAAGATATTTTGTGATGTTGTTAGCCCATTTCCCAATTTACCAAGGCCCAAATCTGTTGCTAAATATAATAACTCCTACTCTATCGTGAATGGCTCAGCTTATGTGTTTGGAATGTCTAACTTCTTAATTTCCTCCAGCAAGGAGAGAGATTTCTTATCAACTTCCTCCTTTTGGGAGAGATCACTTCCACCTTCCTATCCGTTCGGGAAGAGAACCAGTTTACCATTTTCCCTCTCCATGAGAGGAAAATTCATCTCGGCTTCAAAGCCGCGTGGAAATGTTCCATCTTTCTAATCGATTTGTATTCTTATGTAGCGGTCTCCACGGGACAAGAAGATGCAACGGATTTTGCCTCGACGAGATTCGAAGGTAGAAGATGTTTCTCAACATCACAATTCAAGGTGACCAAGCTACTTTTTTCGGCTTTCCTGCAACTGTTATACCGACGCATCCGTACTTGTCTTCACGATATCGTTTAATTATGAGTTTATCTCTGTTTTATCTTCTACTGCTTTCGTTTCCTTGTATGAACAACTTGTATGAATAAGTGTATCTCCAAAGTTTAAATTAAGGAAAATTTGCTAAATTATGACACATTGAAATAGAAAATGTCTCAATACACTTTTATCTTTATAAAATGTACAATTAGGATTTAGTTTCAATTAATCTCAATTTTGACCTTGATTTATATTGACAAAGGTTTTTTTTCGAAACTCCCAAATTTCAGACGCATGGAACGGTCACAGTTCCACTTCGCTCCGTCCGATCTTCTTGACCAATCTTCGTGTGTATTGGTTATCACAATTGAAGACATCAACGACCGGTCTAATAGACCGGGTATATGCTTTGTATCTCCGTCCGGTCTTCAATTAAATCGGTTTTGGCTCAAACTTATTCTTCTTCCTTTCTCTTTGGGCGATTTTGATGATATCGAAATCCTAGTTCTTCAAGTTTTCTACTTATTCCTATTTTGTACACTTTGTTGGCCGAAAATTCTGACTTGGAAACAAGGATAACTCTTAATCATTCTATCCACACAAGGTATTCTCTTTCTACAATACCTAAATCCATGTTTTTTACAAGTTTGTGTTCTTCATATATGTTTCTTTGATTTTGCTAATTCTTGTTATATTCTTAGAGAAATCACATATTTAGACATGTTTCGACATGGGTTCGTTGAATTAGAGAATTTAGAGATTAATTTCACCATGAATTAAATTTTCACAAAACAAAGTTATGAGTATTCAATGCTCACGAATTTGTGATTGATTTTGGCTTCTAAATTACTTCACTCATCTTGTTTTTCTATTGGGTAATGGATTTCACATCATTTATTTCATATTCTAGCTTCAAAGTTCAACTTTTGAGTGAAATTTTTGAACTTCCTTTGAAAAATCCGAAAATCCTAAAGTAAGTTGGAAAATTGGGGAATCGATTTGCTTTGTGTTTCTACAGTGACGATGATGTCTCACGATGATTTGTTGATGATATCCTTGGACATGAAGCAGTTTAATGGTGATGTGGAATTTTTCTCTTCTTAATTTTCTATGTTGAGTGTTGGTTTTGTAGGTATCACAATGGCAAAATCAACTATCAATGAGGTAAAAAATACAAACAGTGAGAACAAGGAGTACAAAAGGAAAGAGGAACCACCAAAGAAAGGAAACAAAAAGAATGTGGAGCAAACTCCGAGAGTTGAGAAACCAAGGCACGAACTAGACTTTAGCGACATGGATGCGACTCTTTCTCCACTACTCACGGGGGAGCCTAGTAAAGTGCAAGAGGAGCGACTGACGACGGTTATTGTTGGGAAGCCGATGAAGAATAATGTGGATTACATAGAGGCAATGACAAAGGTTTCAAAATTATAATGTGTGCCCAGGTTTGCTGCTTTAAGCATGTACAAGTATTTTGGTATTTTAGCATAACTTTTTTATAGTATACCTCTAATTTTGTTAACTGCATACTCACGTGCATCGAATACTAAATCTCGATGCCGCATAGATATGCAACATATTAGCCAAAACGAAAAAACCATATGCGACAAAATTCAAAGGAACCACAAATGAAGAAATCAAACAAGAAGACGTATTTCATAAGAAGGAAACGCGAGGAAGAAGAAGAAGATTACGTGAAAACGTGTTTTACATAGAAATATTTTTTAAAAAATCTAGGTAACAAAAATATTCACTCCTAGATTTAAGGAACTTGTAACTAATTTTTTCAAAAACTACATTCTACGAATCATAGATGGTAGACAAAGTCGTAGACGTTGCGATAGAAACTATATTTAGGACACAGTAGAATATATTGAGAACGGTAGAATGTATTATCTAGGTTTGGTAGATGTTAGTCTAAGTCGTGGAACTAATATTCTACGACAATGTAGAACGTAGAGCATGACGCAGAACAAAAATTCTACCTTCGGTAGATAGAGGTGAAATTGGCAGAATCCTAAATCTACCGAATTGTGGCAGTCGTAAAAGGAAAAACTAAAATCACTTTTCAACATGGTTTTTAGCTTGAAAAAAACTAAAAAATATATACAAATGATTATTCATGACATGGTTATAATTTATCAAATTTTTCAAAAATTTAACAACTTTTTATTTTGAATTATTTATATTTTCATTAAGGATAGTATAGACAAAAAATGGTAAAAATTGACAAAGGTGTATTGGGACATTATCTAATTCAATGTGGCCTATTTTAGCAAATTTTCTAATTAATGAAAGAAAGTTTGCCCAAAAAAATTTAAAAAAAAAAATTATTTGATTCCTGAATTGTTTTGTCTTTTGACGAAAATTAAGTTATTGAGATCACATCAAATAGCAGTAGATTTGAGCTAGTTTGATTCTATTTGAAAATGTGATACGTATTAAATGCAATAGATCAACTCTGAAAGGTTGGGATATTTAATTTATGTGTCAAACTATTGGTTACAAATCTTTCCATGGCTCAAATGCCCACAAACTTTCCGAGTTTAAAAAAATTATTTGTGTTTTGAAGTTTTTTTTAATTGACCAAAATCTCTCATGATTCAAATGTCCCAAACTTTCGAGTTTTAAACAAAATGTTTTGTGTTTTGGAGTTTTAGTTGACCAAAAAAATATTAGACTTTTCAAGTGTGAGTTTTAATTTTTAATTATATTAGTGATGGTGAATTTGGGCTTATTAGTGGTAGTTTAATAGACCTAAAGATTTTCTATCTTCACGTATACATAAAACTAGTGTGGTACCCGCGGGATAGTATTATTAAAAAGAATTATATATTATATTTGAGATTTGATAAATTAGTAGATAAAAAATGCAATATATTTAAAATACAAGAAACAAAATATAGCTTTATAAATAATAAAATCAAAATTATTAAACAATGTGAATCTAAAGTTATTACAACAAACCAAGATAACATTAAAACAACTAAACACCAAAATAATTAATGAGAAAATATATGATATTTCATAACTCAAGAAAAGAACCATATTCCAAACCACGACATGCCAAAACACGACGAATAGCAACAATAATCCTCTTACATTCACCCTCACCGATAATATTTGAAAGAATGGATACGTAGTCATCCATCACACTTTTAGAAGACCATCAAACAGTTTCGAGCAAACCAAACACAGAACGTGGGTTTGGCCAATATATACATAAAACAAAAAGAAGAAGAAAATTCAAGTGATAATACCCTTTATTTGGCATATAAACATACTCAAATTTCTTCCTCCTCCAAACATTGTAATCTTAAAATTGCATTGCTTATGTTACAAAGATGAAAAAGAATCTTGATGGTTGCAAGTAGCTAAAAGCCAACCATAACACCTTCAAGTGCTATAATTGAAGGTCATATCTTCTTATTTCTTCTTATGATGCAAAATCACATGATTTACAGTACCACCAGTTCCAATTCCAGCAACAAATATATCGACATTACCCAATGTTTCTGGTACTAAAGTTTCAAAGTGTATCTTAGCAAAACACAAAACTGGAACCCCCGAATAAAAGCTCAATAATTTTTTACCTTTGAATTCGTTGTATTGTCAAATTGCCGAAACATATATATGCATAATATGTCTTATGAATGTCTTTGGTTTTATCCACTGCACCTTTGAGACATTTCTCTGCTCCTTGTGTGTATATATATATATATTAAAAAAGACTTTTAAAAACTTTTAAACTTCTTTTTAAAAAAGAAAGCAAAAATACACAAAAATTGAATAATAATCAAAAGGTAACTTAATACAACCAAATACAATTCAAAAAAAGAAGTTAAGCTTCTGTTCAGTGGCAGAATTGAGAGTAGACGGTCCAATGATGGTTGTTGAAGGCAGTGAGATTGCGGTGAAAATCCAAGCATTTCTTTCACGCCAAATGGGCAAAACAGTTGCTTAGTAGATAAGAATTATCAGTTGGACTCTACATTCAACACATAAATGCAATATATTAAATAAAAAAATTGGTTGACTACTAAATTTATTCAAATTCGAAAGACAATAAATATGTTATTATGGTTGATTACTAAATTTAGTTTTTATGATTAACCTAAATGATATTGTTATTAATAATTAAGTTATGGAAAAACATATACCGAGTGTTTACTYTTGTCATTGCGAAGACAATCAATAACATATTTGAGATTGAGATTGATTGTTTTTAAATAGTTATTTTTTCGAATTCTAAATCGAAACAAAAATCATAGAACTAAAGTAAACACATGTCTAATGTAATTTTCATACTCATATAATTAATCATGCCACCGTGAGCATCTTAGCTTGTAAAAATATCTACACGTTAAAAAAAACATCTTCTGAACGTGATGCCACTTATACCGTATTAATAATTTTAATGAATTATTCAATATTTAACTTTTTGATCTAATTTTAAATCAATATTTATTCATAATTTCATTAATATCTTTTTGAACAGAACATTTAAAATTACTCACTAACTTTATACCATCAATATTTTTTTGAAATTAAGGGGGTAATAAACCCTAACATGGGAGCCTAATACCTTACAATGCATGTAGAATATTGAAAACAATTTATAATTTTAACAAATTAATGAGCACCAAACCCTAATATGTGAGACCCTTACAAATGCACGTAAAATATGGAAACAATTATTACATAGATCATAAACCCTAGAATCTTAGCATTAGAGCCTTAATCCAAATACACAAATTTATCCGAAGTTTAGATATATTGTGTTAGCTATGGTCGGTTTGATTCACTTTGTCGGTTCTTTGATTCTTTCGGGTTGGAAATATTCTACCAAAACTAACTGAAACTAATCGAATAATAGTATGGTTTGGTTATGACAAAATTTGGTTTCTATGTAATGTTGTCGTATAATACTAAAATGTTAATTTGATTTGGTTTTAAGTAAAACATTCGGTTAATTTCGGATAAGTTGATTAATTTTGGTTAATCGGGTTGAGTCCAGTTAGTTCAAATCGATCCAATATCTACATTTATTATTTTTAGCTAACGCAAATGTTTTTGTTATTCATATTAACATTAGACCATCAAATAGTTTAAATTAAGGGGTATTAATCTCTAATACGAGAGCCTAAACTCTCACAAATTTACGTAACCATTGAAAACAATATATATGGCCTAAACCCTTAACTCTAGCATCAGAGCCTAAATCCAAATACAAACACGTAAAAAAATTGRTCTTTTTAGTAACCTTATGCCATCAAATTATTTTATTAGTGATGTTAAAACCTAGAATAAACGTCTAATGCACTTTTTGGGTATAAWTAATCATATCATATTATAAGCYTTTTAGGTTTTTACAACATTTAAATGATATTAAACCAATAGTTTCCTTCTTTGCATTGATCTCATTTACATCAACCTCAACATTGTTAACTATTCTTCCATTAGAACCAAGTCTGTAGAGTTGTTTCCATTATATATGACCAGAACCGCAATTTCCCAAGATGTATTAAAATATGAA